TAAAAAAGCAGCTGAACAAGGATATACCAGTTAATCTGGAGTAGAAAAAGATAAATTGAGTTATATCAGAGTGCATTAAACAAGTACATATATTGGTAAAATATGAAAGTTAAAAATAGTAGGCATTATAATTATATCAATATTAATCAATCTTAACATTAGCTATGTATAGTAACTAACTTGTTAGCCAGAATAAAACTGGTAGGGGAAGGTTGTTTCAATCAAGAGTAAGAGTTAAAAAGGAAATTTATATTATAAAAATGAAATTGGGTAGAAGCAGATATTAAATAGCGCTTGAGTATTGAGTTATATGAAAGAGGATATTAATATAGTGAAGCACAAAGCAAGGTGTATTAGTATACTTTTTATAAAACGGGTCAGAAGCAAAGGAAAAAAAGAGATTTACCATTAATATTAACAGAAATGACATTTTTATATGGTACTAATATTAGGAAGAAAAGGTTTAGCTTGTCTATTTTGGCATGTGTAAGTAAATATAACCAATTTTGTAAGAATAAAGGTATGTCAGTTGTCGGATCACCCACGTGGAGAGCGTTCGTGTAACGACCTTGGGATTTAGTCGTCTTTCGGCGGAACACTTAGGCTTGTTCCTACTATCGCTAAATCGCTATCCAATTAATGACTTAAATAAGATTTACCAATACTCACGGATTTATAATCCGACGCCTTCTCTGGATTCTATTTAACCTCCGAGTCAAACAACGATTATGATTCGCTAGGGATTATTTAACGAAAATCTATCGACGGGGAAAGTATATAAATAGTAACGCGTTAAACATGCAATTAAATAGAAATCCTGATGTCTAAGTTCTGATAAGCTCGATGGGCAAGATCAAACTTATTAACCGCTGATCGAGAAAGCGATTTTATCACTTAACCAGCGATCGAATAAACTCACCAGGGAATGAACGAAAATAACAACTTATATTAATTACAGATTTATTAGAATTCAAAGAGCTATTAAATATGCTGAAGATTCTAGACACTGAAGACTAGACTGAAGACAATGTTCAGAGCGGAAAACTACAACTGCTTATATGTCTAACTACCGTTTCACTATTTTGACACCATATTTCGACACCGCTATGTTACATTTGACACCAGATGTGGTTATCGTTATATCGGGTCATCTATATTTCTATTTATATCTGACACCGATGCGGTCGAATCTGGCGTCGCTCGTGTGCCAAATATTTACTGTGCCACAGATCGGAAATGTTTGTACCATTGAGCGCGGAAATCACTGAGGAATACGTCGCCTTTTAGACCTAGGCTTGACACAGTTATGTTCTGTATGGAATACAGTCAACTCTCCCTAAATGCACACCCTCGGGACTGAAAAGTTGAGGGCGTGCATTTAGAGATAATATATGTGTGTGCATTTAGGGAGTTTGTACTAGTAAATCACGTGATAATTAATATGTTTATTGTAATTTATTATTTTCACATTGCATAAAATATTGATCTGTGTTTGTCTACCACATCATATTGGCTTTTCTTTCACTAATATACCTTTCAAGAATATCATTTTCGATCTCCAAGCTTTTTAAAGCATCACTAGCACTGATAACAGTTGTTTCACTATCATCCATATCTTCCAAGTTATTGTCACTTTCTCCTATTCTACAAGTTCATTAAAGATTTTAGACAACGTTTTCTTCAGCAATTGACAGAAACTCGTCAACTTCAATTGAATCTGAAAGATCGAGCTTTCCAAGTGCTTTGCACAGTTCATCAGAAATTGAATCTTCAATTGCACAAGAGATTGTACAAGTCAGCATCCATACTGATACTGATAGGTGTATGATTTTGTATGACACCAGCAGTGTTGAATGGTGTAATTTATATCTTACCTGATGTATGTGTGTTGTGTCTGAGTTTGGGACCTGTCTCAGTTCGGAACCCAGTCACTCAGTCCAGGACTCAGTTGTCTCAGTCCAGAACCCAGACACTCAGTCCAGAACCCAGTCGTCTCAGTCCAGAACTGAGACAGGTCCCCAACTGAGGTACAACATATGGATGGCCTGATGTATTACTATACATATACAGAATGTCTGGCAGCTGTCCATGGACATTATTGTTAGTCAGCCTACCAATACTTTATTGTTGTGAGCTTGCTGATGAAATATAATTAAGATTTATTAACAGAATTAGCAGTTTTTCATTTTGATCGTAAATTAAAATAGTCTCATTGATCGAATTAAAAGCGGTTTCGTCCAAAAAAAAAAAAAAAGAGAGGGGGTGAGGAAAAAAAAAAGGAAAAAGTCTGTTTTCTTAAATGTCAGTTCAATAAATTAGCAAGCTCTGCAAGTGCCCCATTATTAGATCTATGTAACTTGTCGACATCAAGAGATAATAACCACTATAATACAAAGGGTTTATCAAAATAATACAAAATGTTTATCAATACTACTTCTTAAATACAATGTCATTCAACCAGCAAGCTTCCATCTTGACAAAAAATTCTACCGATGTCGACACTATGCTCCAGCAACAACAGCTCCTTCAGCTTTATTTTCCGCATTATTAGCACCATCAGTTGCATTTTTACCGATAACAGCGTTATTGGCGCCGTTAGTTCCATCATTTCCATGAGAAGAAGCTGGGATATTTCCGGTATGACCATTGGTCCCATTAGCACGTCCATTCACATTTTCACCACTTACATTTCCATTCTGAATGAATCCATCCAAATACCCTCCCAATAGACAATCGCGTACTAGTTCTTGAGTTGTGATAGGGACGGTTTTCAAATTTTGAGTATTCGCACCAACGAGGTCCATTAACAAACTGTATATCTGATGCTGCTTATAGCGAAGTTGATAGAGTTGAGTGTTATGCAAAAGAGGACAGAGTACTCGGAGATATACGTTTCGGAGCTGTCAAGAAAAAAAAAAAGAGGAATGGGGGTGAGATAAACTGTTAGTAATAAAGATACAACACGAATTGGTGCCAAACTTTTGTATTATGTTTTCTCCTCCCTGACAATGTCTTCAGTATTTGATTTATAACCTACGTTTTCTCTCTCATCCGGTAGGTTATATAATTCCCGTATAAATACATCTAATAACACTCTTAGATCATTGGTGTAGAAAAACTCGTAAGTTTGGGGTGTATTGAATAACTCGTACAGAAGCTTGAGAATTATCATTTGAATGCTAGGTTCCACTGTTGTAATTAAAACAGAGTATTGCTTGAATGTTAGTTATACAATCAATAGAAAATTCATCTCCGTGACCGAAATCATTGAAGCATCATACCGCAACGGTTCAGCATAAATATCAAGTTTTCCCCAAACGTTTTGCTTGTTCCGATTCTCGTCCCTAGCACCTGCAATACCACGTTACCAAGTTTTACGGCTGTAGCAGATGAAGTACTATTAGCACTGTTCGGTAAAGGAGATCGCATAAATTGTTCGTTGAATGCTAACTATATATGTAGTGAGTTGGAAAAGCAATAATGTGAATATGCTTGTGAGTAAAGATTAGCAGAGAGGAGATGGAATTGCTACTCGAATGAGAGCTGCATAACTTACAATGAGTTTTAATATTGAATAATTAAACGTCTCATCTGTGTCATCACGTGTTTTTTCAACGAGATCCACGAGGTAATTGATGAATGGTGCATCTATCATGCCTACGAAATACGATTAGAAATGGTTTAGTGTTAATAAATGAAATTCATTTTCAATGGACATCTTATATCAGTAATATAACCATATTCATTAGTGCGTGAGACGAATATGATTAACAATCTCGATGATATAATTTTTATCTTTTCGTTATGTACTTACTCAAATCACCTTCGGGCAATCTTTGGATGTGACATATTTCAAACATCAATTTAATCGCGATTTGTTGTATTCTGTGGCCTAAAAGAAACAACGACAACAGCAAAAACAACAAAATACAACCAAACCATGAGCAAAATGTTGATTCTATATGTTCTGTGTGGTATTAAAACATATAAAGCATTGTTGTACACCCAATTCATAATTCACATAATAACTATTAAATTCATATATGTTCTAGCACAACTAAATTTCATATAGCGAATGCCCCTATCCAATACAACCCCGCTGTGCCTGTTTTCTTTTTTCAATCATTCTTCCTTTTTACTCTGAATACACACTTTCTTTTCCAAAAACGTAAAATACACTCTCCCTTTTTTTCTTCTTCTTTCTTTCCAACCCCATATCACTTTCTCTAACCTTCTAGTTCACAAATCTGTCTTTTCAATTTTGCAAATATCTCACGCTTTCTTCTTGCCAACACCAGCTTAAAAATATTTGGATTTTCTTTCCCACTGAGTAGAAGAATGTGATAAGTCACGTATAGATCGTTTAGATCATCACGCCTAGCTGCACGGTCTATGATGCCTTCCATGATCTTGGAGTTGTATTTAGAAAATAAAGAGGAATCAAGAAGCTTGTAACAACATGAGGCGAGGTCATCTGAAGTTGTGGTGTCTAGAAAGTCGTCTGAACAGACGTATAGAACTAATGTGAGCATTGATGCGATTATATTGACAGTCTTCCTTCTTCAATAATCCACCCCGTTAGTCTTTCGGTTTCTAATGCTAATTCATATATCATTACGGTCGTTTTTTACCTTGGTGACTAGCAACAAGCCCAATATATAAATCAATACATCCGCGCGCAACTTCGGCACTTCCATCACCTCTGGTCAGGATATCATCCAGTTCTGCACGATCATAACAAGTCCAACATGTAAACATGTTTTGTCCCCGTTCGCAGAAATAATTCGAGACGCATTACATCAACTGACCTGCCCAGAACTGTTGCGCATCTTCCAGTTGATATATTATTCCGTCGTCCATCGAATGGTGTGGTGTGTAGTGGGTGGTGTACTAGTGGAAGTAAGAGTATTTGTTGGTAAAGAGTGTTTGCGACGGGTAAAAGAGACAAAAGGATTGAAGCCGGGGGAACTAAATGTACGCACGAAATATATGGAAAAGGTTTGAGACTTGGGACAGCTGCAATGACCATATAAATATACGGAGCATGCTTGTTGCTGATCATACAAATTTTTAGGGTGTACAGTATTAGTATTCTTGTTTTAGTTTATACGAGTTATTTTTACGCTAACCGGACATTTTCGAGTTCTGACTAAGCATACATCTGCACTTGCTTGTTGGTATGATGAAGCACTGTGACAAATAAATATAGAGACTTGATGAAATGCAAACAAATGTCGGCAAGAATTCGATTGATAACAAAAAGAAAAACCCTGATAGACAATTGGGCGAAGAAATGAAAGTATGCAAATTTAAACAAAGACATTGATATTAATATTAAATTGGGTGACTATAATTAGTCGCACACAAATTGTAATGTCGGTACAACACTCTTTAATTGGGAAGACAGGTTTTTATGCACTAGCCTAAAATGGTTGTCGCTTGGACGCAGATCTTGAAAAGATTGTTAAGAGAATGTGCAATTATTATATAGGATTAGCAATTACAAACTTTTGCATCAAATCTGAAAGAATTCTTTCAATGACCGCAAAACACAAGTGGTTTGGCAATTAGATGACGTTACGAACAAAAAATTTTCTCTGTATAACACGCGTTTTCACATTCACCCGTCGCGTATATTTCGATAGTTAACAGACGTAATGCCCATGATACGCTTGCGGCCGAATGAAATTTTATGAAAATCCGGTATGGCTGATCGGCAAACACTTAGTACGAAGAGCTGCCTCAAATTATGGACATTCTTTTCAGTTTCTATTTTGAAACTTTCTGCCATGATGTTTGCCAAGACACCCCTGCGATGGCTGCAGAAAGGATTCGCAAATACCAAGTTGTGGAAAACGATTAACAGACTCTGCAAACAGAGACAATATAGACTTGGTAAGCATGTAAATGCTATTCAAAAAAATCTAGTGCAACATTGAAAGTGTGAGGTTTACGATGCTCTCTAATGAAAGTAATTTCCATTATACCTTTCTATTAATACATCTCTCGATTCTGATTAAACGAGAAAAAGGCGCCGAGTCATGTTGCAAACAACAAAGTGCAAGTATTCCCTAAGTACTAGCAATTAATTGTAAACTTTTTTAAGATCTTTAGAGAATATCACGGCTTCAATATTGTCGAATATTGATGAGAGTTAGGACAAATTAATTAATGATTCGACACTCCACAATAACAATTCCACTCTGGGCTAGCCCAAATCAGAATTCTGAAATGGTCCAAGGGGTAGTTGGTCTATTCTAGAATGGTCTAAATTCTGATTTAAACTAGAACATATATTTTAACCAATTATAAACTATTTACAATTATTATTATGTGTATTAGAAATACTCAAACAACCACAGTATGGGTTGGGTGTTGGCTGCTATGTTGCATCTCCTTAATTTGCATGTATTCTTTCTATTATTAATAAGGGGTACACAATGTTCAAACAATTGCTTATTCGGATGTTACAAGACTAATGATAAGTTAATAAAGAATATAAACAGCGAAATTTACAAACCTCGCTATAATTTGTGAACTACGTCTTTTTTATAATACTAGCTAGATTCCATTGTCGAAAGCGCGTCGTAATGTGTTTTAGGGCACCGATAATATATTATTACATAAATACTAATTATATTAAATAAAACATTGCGATCAGTAGTAAAAGCAAATAAACTTATTATTATCGTCTACAATTATTAAAACAAACTCATTGATTAGAACATCTGAGAGCGCGTATAAAGGTATTCGCTCATATTTATCACCTTTTTATAATCAATACGTTCTTCAACAAATGAAATTATTAGGTGTTGTGCGTGACACTGTAGTTATATTTTTATGCGTCGTTGTTTCTGAACGAAAGTATAGATTAAGCGGACGCTGAAGTATCTGACCAAACAGAAAAGAATAGTTCAATTAACTGTTGTTACGTTGGGATTGAGGACGCTTCAATTCCGCATGCTTATCTAGATGAATCATAACACAAAAGCATAAAATGAAAACAAGTCATGACATAACGTGTACAATGTACGTGGTAGTCGAGTCATAGTCGTTTACAGAATTTGTAGCCAAAATATAAGGAGCGTAAAAACTTTCTTGAAGTGGTTTTCGTTGCAGTGTTGTAGTGTAGTTAAGGCGTTGCGACATGTCATGGTACAATTTAAATATCCACATTATCATAAATTAAGACTACGATCAAATAGTAAAATATACACTACCCTACAATAAATTACGGGATTTCGTATTTTTTTACTAGTAAAACATATGAAAGGTCTTTTTTTTTCAAAATTTCTCCTGCCCATGTGTACTATGTGAATGACAATAGTTTTTGTATGGTTTCGAAGCTAATTAATTGTGCTTTTTGAAAATAATCAATAGTAAATTATATATATCATTATTATAGAGCTATAGCTTTGTGAAGTGGCAGTCTTTAAATTATGGTATAAAAATATATAATTATATGTGGAGTACACATACTTTTACTTCCTTGATTATATATAATTTACTGTTGATTTTTTTCAAAAAGTACAATTAGCTTCAAACCGTACAAAAACTATTGTCATTCACATAGTACACATGGGCAGGAGAGATTTTGAAAAAAAAAAGACCTTTCATATGTTTTACTAGTAAAAAATACGAAATCCCGTAATTTATTGTAGGGTAGTGTATATTAATATTATTGTCTACACATAAATTAAATCATATTCATTCAAAGAGTGGTTGAAAAAATTCAAAAATGTTCCTAATCGACAAATTGAAGTAATATCGCCTTTCTTAATTATGCTCTTCGATTGGGAGATTATATTAGTTGGTGTTGTCTCTCCTTTTTGTAAGTTGCTAGCCGCAGGGCTATCGCTGGAAGAATCCTTTTCTTTAAAAATCAGGTAAAGCTTAAAATAGTGCCTAAACGAAAAAGTGATCTATTTTTAATAATTTGGCTTAATATAGGTTAGCAATCCAGTATATATTCCAGAGATAGAGAATGGTGATATTAATATGATTAAAGTATGCATCAGCGATCTGCTAGGCTTCGACATTAGCTGATGCCTCGATTGAAGCGGATACGTTAGCAAGGACGTGTTTTGAGCCAAGTCGAGAATATCTCCCGGTCAGAATTGAACACAACGTGCTCCCAGGCGACCATTATTGTAGATTTCATTTATCAAACCGTTTAACAAGTGTGAGATTTATGCCTTAGCAATTACAATAAGAAGATATAAAAGGCCACCTTCAAAAAATGAACTGAACCTTAATTGAGACCATCTATAATAATTTAGAACACAAGTGCTCTCCCATGTAACCAAACATAAAACTAGTATTCCATACAGAACATAACTGACATAACTTTATTCTTACAAAATTGTTTTACACGTGCCAAAATAGATAAACTAAACTTTTCTTTCTAATACAATCTCATTAACAGTCAACGCTACCGGAAGCCATAAAACAAGATCGTTACTTATTAATAAATGGTCAACACCACGCTCGTTGAAAAACATCGATAAAACGTCTGCCTGTTCACTAATATTGGAATAAAAATGCCTGGTTGATATTTGAGACGTACAGTACTTCAAAAACCTTAACAATATGATGCGGCGTAGTGGTCATCACATTCTTTTAACTGATAACGCATCATGTTGATATCGGTTTAAGGCCAACTTAAAAAGAACTATTGGGCTTAGACATCTCTTTTAAGGAATTTCTTATGATCATTCTCAGTTGCTCTATGTAAGCTTGGTTTAGATGAGAACTTTAATCGATTTCAATACTTGATTGTACATTCGTTTAGAGATATACAGTCAAGACTGGATATAACGATATCTCAATATAACGATAACTGGATCTAACGATGAAATTTGTCATTACCAAAACGTTCTTATTTAATTTTACCTGGTTATACCGATTTTACTATTA